AGTACACAAGATAAGAACATAATAAGATGTTGTGGTACAAATTGTAAAACGCACTTTGAATATTGCCAGTAACATTTTCAATGCAGAACTTTTATTTGTAATTTAATATTTTTTGACTATTTTGTTCTCTAACCAAGCAAAAATATCTGAATTCTCCCTCCACTAGGCAACTAAATGTATTATTAATCATAACATATGACTTTACTAAAAGGTATAACACATTTATTTATTCTTAAACTGATGAGTAATGTGCCCTATAAGACTTCAGCTGGAAAGCGGTACCACCACAAATCTAGTTTATTTGCAAGGTGTGCATTACTTGGACTGGGTATGAGTCACATCACCGGTTTTTCTTCTGTTTACAGGAAAAAAGTCGGCGTTCTAGTTCAGCTCTACCTCTGGGTGTGAATGACCTTATTTCAAAAAGTGAATGCACTGGAGGCAGTGGGTTTGCTTTGTGCTTTATCTGATCCCAGAAGCTGATAAGATCTGTATTGTGAAGGATCTGAGATCTGTCTCTGAGCATCAGTCAGTGTACAGAGGTCACTCAAATGTATCATTTTCACAAGAGAGATGCACAGATCTTCGATTTTTTTTTCTGACGATTCTCACAGGAAATTACCATTTCTTTAATTTAAAAAATGTAGTTTACTCGTGCTGTCTTCTCCAATGTTGCCTATACCCAAGTTTAAATAAAGTTAAAACGCAAAAAAAAAAGTTTTTGAAGAATCCTGCATTTAAGGTTTGACTCCATGTAAAAGTACTAGCAATAAAAATGTACCTATATTATATGAGTGCACTTTCTGAACAATGGCTCATTTCACAATAATAAATGTTGAAGAATTATAATCAGAGGTGGAAAATAACTAAATACATTTGCTCAAATATTGTACATAATATGTCTTAACTTATAATAGTACATAATAATGTATTTCTTGATTACATCATGCATTTATATTCTGAATCTTCAAAACAGCTAAATCTGTCAAATAATGAAGTGGAGTAAAAGGCACAATATTTCAAGAATTGTGAACTGTAATGTAATACAATAATTAAAAAATCTGAGCAAATGTACTTCCTGTCTACCACTGGAGCTCAGTAAAGCCTAATAATCCTTTCAACGGATGAAATGACACACCAACACAGGATTTCTCCTTTATTTAAATAGAAGCGTGTTAGAAACCTGTTTGCGTGCTTCCACTTCCACTTCTTTAAAAGCCTGATAAGGAACAGACATGACAATGTGATGATATCTCTCGTTTCAGCACTCTCACTTCTACATTAGATTATACATAGTAACGCACAGTAGCACGGGTCAATGAGGAAGGGATGGTTTTACACTAACAGTAGATAATTGAACGAGAAAAGATGAGCCTTTTGTTTAGAAACTCAGTATGAGAACTTCAAGAGCTATCGTTTCCATTTTTTACAGAACTGACAGTTCTGTAAAAGTCGCCCTATGTGAAACTTGATTCAATAAAAACATTATACATTTTGTAAGTGAGCAATCAATCAGTGCAGTTTCAGGCTTCAACATTCTTCACACACACTATGTCAAGGACAAACCATGACCTTACACTTTTACACTTACGTTTATACTAAAGGATTAACACATTTAGAAACCCTAAAATAAGAGTTTGAGGAAGTACTACAATATTGTATGTAATTAAAAGTTGTTAAACCACAGTGTATAAATACTTAACTACAGATAAATGTCCTGCATTCAAAATATCACTTATTTCAAAGTACAAAAGTATTGCATTGTAATGAACTAAAACTATTGATGCATTAGTGTTCACCGCTTTAATGTTGCAGCTGGGGGATCTTTAAAAAAAGAAAGTGTATTAATCACCTTCATTTTTGGCAAATAAATGTAGTGGAAACCAAATAACAACATTTGCTTCTAAATTGTAGTGGAGTAGAATAATTAAGCGGCATTAAAAAGTACTTTTAAGTAAAGTATATGTATCTAAGAATTGTACCTAAGCACAGTAATATAGTACATTTATTGAGTTACTGTCCTCCACTGGTGAAAATACATTAAGCAGTTACCAAACTGGCTAATGTGACCAAATAAACCAAATAATGATTCATATTTACTTCTTCTATGTTATTTTTTTCTATTCTGATCAGACTTACCTTGCAGAAAGATGATTTATTCTCTGGGTTGAGCAGAGTGAAAGAGTGAGACAAATCTTCCTCCCGGAGATTCACCTGTGTCGAGGCTGCTTCTGAACAAAGGTCAGTGGGTGGGCTGTATGTCACTAATAATGTGCGCTTTAAATATCAAAAGAAGAAAGATATAGGCAAAGCTGCGTTCTCACAGGCTCTGCTGCAGTGTGAGTAAAGTGCATCAGGGATCTTCCTCCTTTCTGAAGTCACACATGCAGGGACATTCCGCCTGCACGCTCAGTAGATCTGTTGCGCTCAATTCACACCGACTGCTCAGTCGCAACAGGTCCAGCCTTGAAGTTAAGGACAGAATTGTTTAACGACTACTGTAGATTTTATTTTTCACTTCAATTACATTTTTAATAGAGTTTTACAAACTACTGAATACAAGTTGGCTGCCCGCCCTTACTCTCACTCTGTCTTTGATCACAGGTGTAAACTCACTCATGCCAACATCCTGCACACAGAAACTCTCTCTTTATTCTCTCATGCCCTCAAACCTCAACGTGGTTTTTCGGAGAATGTGCTTCCCATTTGCTATAGAGTTATTTTGTTATGATACATCCTATTTTTTGTTTTTGCCTGTGCGTATTATTTCTGTATTTTCTTATATTTTGTTGTGCTTGCTCCAATTTGGTCAGTTTTAAGTATTTTTGCAAACCCTGATTGAGCCTGATGAATCCTTTACAAAAAGTCAATGTTATTATTTTTGTAGCATTTACTTGTTATGTGTTTTACATGAAGTAAATGTGTATTACAGTAAAATATGAGGTGCTTTTCCACAACATGACCAGCAGGTAGAGCTGTTATTTCAGTAGATAGTAGATCATTAACTTCCATTCTGTCGTAAAAGGTCACATCACAACTACCCATAATATGTAAACTTTATATTGTACAGGATGCTAGATCTGATAACCTTTTTCAAGTTCTCATTCTCAGGCATAGAGGAACTGAACGGAGCTATCATTTATGGAACTTTTTGGCCTCAGTTTAATGAGCTTCGTGTGGTATTCAGGTACACTCAATGTCACTGATTCTAGGGATTTTAAGGATAAAAAGAAAAACAAATGCTTTTCTTAAAGTAAAACAGATTATGGCAGAACGACAGCGAGACTTCGTAGATAGGGTTAGAACGCTGGATTCCCCACCATTTACTGATTCAAAATGAAAATAAATTGATATATAAGAAAACGTTTTTATAATCTGTACTTTTAAAGTGAATGAGAACCCAGAGTGCATACAAAGAATACAAATAGATAACGGCTATGGGTTTTTTATTAACTGGCCCCTGGCTTCCTGTTACACTTACAAAAGTGGCCCCTGGGCGGTAACTGTTCAAACTGGGTTGAAACCCTTATCATAAATTCAATCTTGAAAGCCATGTGGTTGAACTTGTATCACTCTCTTACATTTAGAGAAAAACACTTACATCCACACCCATATAAAGGCATCGTAATCACACAGAGGGTTAAGATGTCATTTAAAGCAAAGTGCAGGTTTCCATCGTTGTTAGACTTAACTGCAAAGCTTGTGTTGAAATATTTAAGAGCCTGCTGCATCAAGCAATAATCTGGTTGTAAAACGTTTGCTTTCAAAATAAAAGCTTTTTATGTAAATCATCAATAAACATATACAGCTTATACAGTATACTGTATAACATGTATTATAAAACGGACAAGTCAAATCAAGCAATCTGATCTCAGCCGTGATATACTGAGCGTATACCACGGGTAGAATTGTAAATTACTTTTCTCAACAAGTCAGTATCCCTCCGCGCCTGAGAAATACAGTATACAGTTGGGGTTGTCGCCTATCCCGCTTCGCGTCGGGCCGAACCACGCCCCTTAGCTGTGATATAATGAGCATATACCACGGCCTGTCGTGAGCTATTGCTTAAGTGTATACTTGTAGTAAATGGATGCTAAACAAGTGTCTCACCTTAAACACACAAACACTAAGTTGTCACTTGCTTAACATTTAGGGTTGTAAAATACATGCTCAAACCCCAACTTAACTACTTGGGTTACCTTTTTGTTTAAATTGGTTATTACGTGTTCCCATCACCCCCAGCACTGATCATATGTTTATCCAAACTAAGTCAAATTGATTCCAACAATCCCTGGGTAAAGCATTTTTAATTCATGTTTAAATATACGTGTTGTTGTATAATAGCGGAAACTACTTAGAACCAGCACTGGGGACCCATTTGTGGCCCCTAGTGGGTCACTATAGCCATGCCTTTCTAACTATTTCCTCCTGCTTTGATCTTTGTCTCTATTTTGAACCTCATTATGCCTGTAGCTCACACCCAGCTCCTTTAAAAGAAGCACTTCTTTATCTCAAACAAGTTTAACTGCATATTCAAGGCGATATTACGCATTATTATATATCTATACATTCATATAGATTATTTTTTTGCATTTTTATGAATTTTAAATGTTTATTTTCTGATGACATCAGAACTTTTTATAAGTGAAGCATAAGTTTTTTTTTACCATAGGTAATTACGTCAATGTAAACATAGAATATTATAACAAGTAGGGCAAGCTAGACTACAATTTACAATACAACTCTGGCTCTGGGTATCCTGGGGAGAGCTATAAGTAGAAACATTCGATTTATATTAATCGACAGATAATCAATCAGCAACTGTTTTTGATTAAATCAGGTATTTTAGTATCATAATGATAAAAAATACGTTTATATAATTCGATAACAGTGTTTGTATCATTTTATTTTGAAGTTAATAGTCGGAAGTGTTTTATTTCTTCTTCTACTGCACTTCTATTTTACCTGATGGAGCCATGGATGCACGTGTATGTCGTGCTATGGTATGCGCGACCGGTGTGGGCATGTCCCCTGCTGCCTCGCGGCAACTTGCTCTGCAGGTTATCCCGGTGAATCACTCCTTCAGCAGCTATAAGTAGGACAGCTCTCCTCATGGTTATGTTTTCCTTCTCGCACTTTCTGAATAACAGCCACCATGAGTAAGTCTAGCTCCCTGAAAGTAAAGAACTTATTCAAAAGCAAATCACCTGATAAAGAAAGCAAGGAGCGGAAAAGGTCCGATGTAGCAGCGTCCAGCCCCCGGGACAGGTCGGACACTCTGCCGGCAAACCTCGGTCCCTTAAGCCCGGGAGACAGCGTCACTCTGCCCGGGGATGTTTTACCCATTTTCCCGAAAGAAAAGAAGCCAAAGAGGATGTTGTCGTTTAAGATTAAACGAAAGAAATCCAAGCAGAAAGAAGAAGCAGGAGGAGATGTGTTCTTCACTGATGAACTGGACAGCTTCCAAAGCAACAAGTAAGAGACAAACTAGTTTATTTGTATTACATTTTTTGTTTCATGTTTTGACGCTATGGATTGGCGTTTAAGTTGATAATAAGATACTGATATGTAAATATGATAACATCAACTGTTTTAATTGTTTTCATTCTTTAAATAAAATGTCCCTGCAGAAATAGCACAACAAATAATACAGACAGATCTTTGTTTTTTTACAATTTTAAATAAGACCCCTGATCATAAAACATGTTGTCAAATATAATTATTGTATCATTTGACCATAATCACTGTTGACGCTGGGAGCTGAGGGACACAAGTGCAAAACAAAATCATACATTTTCTAATGCTAATGCCCCCCCCCCGAAACTCCCACATTGTCCCCCTTGCAGTCCTTTAGGTCCTGCTTTTGATACCAGAGCACCAAATAGAGATAGATAGAATTGGAGGGATGAAACCCTCTTTAATGGTCACACATGCAGAGCACACAGCACACATTGACGTGTGTTCTCTGCATTTAACCCATCCTAGTAGATAAAAAGCTGTAGGAACTGAGGGAAGATCTGAATTGTGTGGGTAAAAACATCTCAGTTAGCAACCGTTTCCCCCCTGGCACAAAATCAACCACAGTGAGCTGTGGCTGCAGCTAGTTTAGTCAAGTTTGAAAATTGCAGAGAGCGGTAAACAGTTACAGCGAGGAGGGCGTGAAGCTGAACTGTCACGCAGGACACGAGATGCTGTTGTGTTCCTTGGATTTTTACATGTTTGGGCTTCACTCCGTGGGTAGTTGTAGAAAGTGTTTGTGAAACACCAACTGACCCCATTCTGGTGCTCTTGGGTGAGGCATTTGACTGATAACAGTTCAATCATCTATGGCCGACAGTGAAAGACTGTGGCAGATCCGTGATGGGAACATGGATAAGAAGTAAATATTCACTCTGAGTCACTCTTCCCTTGATGAATCAAAGATTCAAACTAAAAGATTGGTTAACCTCAAGCGGTCACAATAATGATAGACATTCACATCTTAAGGACTTTATTTATACCAGATATTTCCAGTCCTTTTTTATTTTTGATCCATCCCTTCTACCTCTATTTATGAAGATTATTGGAGCATAAAAAAGTATATCAGAGAAGCACATTTTCTACTCTAACGCTGAGATCAAATTATTGTTGGTTAAAATATTCACCATAAAGTTAAAATATCGAGAGGAAAATCAACTGCCTTGCTCCATTAAATAAGATAAAAGGAGCCACTAAACGCATGCCAGATTGTGAATATTCTTGCGTTTGTGTGACTTCTACTTTCAACAAATGTAGTTTGACTTAATTCTGTCATTTCCCCTTATCCCTGGCCCCATTTCTCTTCCATAAGATGAACGTGCACCCAAACCAGTTTGTTGATGAGATCTGTTGCCTCTGACTCAGGTGTTTTTCTCACAGGCAGTCGGGCTAACAGATCACAGATGCTATTATGATATGAGAAGAGCAAGCATTGCATAACATTCAATGGTGAAATGAAAAACCAGCCCTGCAGGTGTTATTTAGTCCTTCTTCTTTCCATTTATATCTGACTCATTGAAGTTGGTGTTGTGATCTTGTCTGGATCATCAGAGTAAATATGACTTCAGGAAACAGAGTTTGGATGCACATGACATGTGACGCATCAGAAAAAGATAACTGACTCCCTCATGACAATGATTATGCCTTCTCTTATCAGCTTGATTCGGAATAATACTTGTTTTGTGTTTTGAGAGCCTTGGTGCATCACATGAATGTTCCCTGAACTCATTAGTCACATGCATCAGGGTAAAAGACGACTTGCTGTGGTGGCTAAGGCTGTTAGGGCTCACCTGTTCACCATGGCCTTTGACCCCTAACCCATCACAGTCCCTCTGCTTCCAGTCCTACTGCTATTTATTTAAATGTTTACTTTATTATTTGCCCCTTTTGTTTGTTTGTTCACCATGTAAAGCGGCCTTGGGTCCCTTGAAAGGCGCTATACACATTTTATCTATTATTATTATTAGAAGAAGTGTGAAAAACGCAGAAAGACTGGAGACCAAAATCAATTTCCACGACACGGAGGATTGTAAAATAAGATATTTTAGGGTTAGGGTGCACTGTCGTGCAAGAAAGACTTGCACGACAGTCTTTCTTCTCTGACATCATTGCCAAAAACAAAAACAACGCACGTGCCTTGTTTGCTACCGTTGACAGACTAACAAACCCCCCAGTGTCAGTAGTCTCTGAATTTCTATCCACCAGGGCCTGCAATGAATTTGCCTCCTTCTTCACTCACAAAATTCAGAAAATCAGACAAGCAGTCAGTGCCTCTGTATTAGGTACAGCAAATGTGTTTTCCCTATGTCCACCTAATATCAATTCAAACACTATGACACAATTCCATCAAAGTAATGATAAAAACCTGGAGGACATTATTCAACTTCTGAAATCCTCCTCCTGCTGCCTTGATATTATTCCAACAAGATGTTTTTTCATTGCATGACTTCAGATCTACTTCACATAGTAAACAATTCTCTTTACTCAGGTGTTTTTCCACAGGCCCTGAAAATTGCAGTCATTAAACCGCTCTTAAAAAAGAACGCTGCTGCTCGAGTCCTCACTGACACTAAGAAAGTGGATCACATCACTCCTGTTCTGAAGTCTTTGCACTGGCTTCCTGTCAGGAAGCCAGTGCAAAGACTTCAGAACAGGAGTGATGTGATCCACTTTCTTAGTGTCAGTGAGGACTCGAGCAGCAGCGTTCTTTTTTAAGAGCGGTTNCGGTTTGGGAAAAGGGAGGGTGAAGGTCCAAACTGTGTTTAACTTTTCATTAATCGAGTAGGTGAGAGTGCCATTCCATGGATTGTGTTTTATTCCGTTTACACTCTAAAGGTTTCCACTTCGGTTTCCAACGGGTAGACGGAATTCTTTTTTAAGTTTAGTCTACATGAGACATGTAGTTTATATAATCTATCCAGTATATAAGCACCGACAAGAGAGTGTTTAGAGGTAAATGGTGTACTTTTACTCCACTACAATTATTTAATACCTTTAGTTACTTTACAGATGTGGATGAATGATGTGAAATATAATCAAATGTTAAATCAGACTTTAGTTCCACCTGGAGTAAATCCACAAGCTACCCTGCAGTATACAAAGTCATTCAAACAAGCTGCACCTTTACCAGCTTTGAGAACACTTTGATGATCAATCATTATAAAACATATATTATATGTTATTCTTAAAAGGACCAATCTGCACAATGAATACTTTTACTTTTGCTACTTTAAGTATATTGTTATGCTGATACCTTTTTACTTCTTTTTGAGTAACATGTTGAATTGCAGGACATTTACTTGTAACAGAGTATTCCCGACACTCTGGTACTTCTACTTTTACGTAGTACCAGTTCTGAGTACTTCTCCCACCTCTGTTGGCCTCTGTATGGCAGACAGGTGTGGGTGAATGGATGATTGAGAGATTGCAAAACTGGAAGAAAAACGATACTAATTAAGTCAATATACCATATACCATTATATTAATATTTTCACAGAGTTATAGATACTCCTCATGATAAGTAACTGACCTTTATTTGTAAGATTGGTGGAGTGCTACTTTAAGCCAAAACACAACTGGCTTCTCAACTTTCCGAACAATCAGCCAATCAGCCGCTTTGTCATCAACTTCTGAGACCTACATCGTAGCTAACCAGAATGATTTTTGAAGTACAATGTAAATGCAACTAGTTCTTCTCCACTGCTTTCTGTCAGGAACAATCCATTAGGTATTTTAATTGTTTACCAACAGTGTGTGAATGTTGTCTCCCTGAGCAGGTGGCACCTTGTATGAATGTGTGTGAATGGATGAATGCTGACTTGGAAATGTAAAGCGCTTTGAGGTATTTTAAAGACTGGAAAAGCGCTATATTAATGCAGTCCACTAGAAATGTGTAGCAACCAGATGCCACCCTATTATTTTGCTACTTGATCACATAGACACCGTTCATCAGTTAATCCTCCAGACATACTCCAGCTATAGTGACAAACATAAGTGTGCCTGGGTGTGTTTATTTACTTCCCAATAAATAAGAATGATTACCAATCAGGCAACATCAATGTGATTTAGAGGTATTAAACCTACATACCCATAGAGTGCAGTCTCACCTGGTCAAGTCTACTCTCCATGAAGTCCAGCAGCATGTTGACAGCATCCATGTTGACCCCCATGTACTCAATAGAGCCCTGCTGCACTTTGGGCACCAGCAGAACATCCAGACAGGGCAGAGGGAGGTTTCCTAGCAAGTTAACAGTATGGCTGAGAGAACAGGGAGAGAGATAAATTGCTTTATGAATGAATGAACACAGAATCAGCTGTGCAGGTGAAGCGTGTCTTCTCGTACCTGTGGAACTCCTCATTGCGCTCCTCTCCCTCGGCCTGGCTCAGCAGACAGTATCTCAGGATGGCCCCCACATGTCTGTACTCTGCTGCGTCCCCCTTCACACAGAGGCAAGGCAAGGCAAGTTTATTTATTTATTTTTCAACACAAGGCAATTCAAAGTGCTTTACAAAAAATGAAAGACATTAAGAAAATGGCATTTAAAAAACGTCATTAAAAAGAAAAGATAATAAAATAAACATTAAAAGAAAAAATACATGGATAAAAGTTACAGTGCAATTTAAGATGTGAATAGTTCAATTAAAAGCAGCGGCAAAAAGAAAAGTCTTGAGCCTGGATTTTAAAGTAGTCAGAGTTGTAGTGGACCTGCAGGTTTCTGGGAGTTTGTTCCAGATATTTGGATCATAATAACTGAACGCTGCTTTACCATGTTTATTTCTGACTCTGAGGACAGAAAGCTGACCAGTCCCTGAAGACCTGAGAGATCTGGTTGGTTCATAATTTAGCAGTAGGTCAGGAATATATTTTGGGCCTAAACCATTCAAAGCTTTATAAACCAGAAGCAGTATTTTGAAATCTATTATTTGACACACAGGAAGCCAGTGCAAAGACTTCAGAA